ATATAAATTAACCAAGACAAAAACGTTTGGAATAAGAGGAAAGACTTGGACTAATAAGATAGTCATCAATTCTAAACGCTCTCTGCAGTTTTTCAAAATTGATCTACTACTGCAAGAGCAGCCAAAAAGTACAAGAGTGAAGAGCTGCATGGGAAAAACTACAGTATATAACTTCAATCACATTACACAATTCCTCCTTGCAAGCACTCTTGATTAAAAGGTACTGAAGAGTCATTTCAGATTGCAAACTAAAACTGCCAAAAGAACTCCTATCATAACATCCTATCGTCTCATATGATGCTGTTTTACACCGCTGTATTTCTTTTAATGTCCACATCAAAGTTTGAAGCCAGTTGGACTAATCCAGATATGATCTGCACCAACTCTGGGTTAATCTGATCCACTTCAGATGTGATCCAAATAAATCCATTTCAGTTGGGAATTCAGCTGGATAAGTTGCACAGCCTTAGTTCTGAATAACTTTAAATTTGAACATTTTTTGTTTTCTTAGTTTTATCAAATCAGCTGGACAATAAACAAGGTAAAATCAAATTATGGTATTTGCTTCAGCTAGAGTAGACTCGTTGAATGAGCAGAATTAGTGAAATAATGTATATCCCGTTTATTTAGTCAACTACGGTTGGCACCAACAATTCAGCTCAGCCCATAACCTTGAAGTTATTATTGTTGCCATTTATTACAGTATTTGCCAAATCTTCTGTTCTGTTTAAAATTAATTCAGTTACTTCTTCACCTATTATAGTCTATGATTAAACAATTACAATTAAATTATACAAACAAAGCTTTTATTTAAATACTTCATATTTTCTTGTTTCATGCATATATATTTCACAATACTTCTAACAATCACAAGAGCATTAGATCTACCAGCTTGCTTCAGTCCACAGCATAAATGATCCTACTATTTACATTTTCTAATGTGAACTGAAACTGCATTAATAGTATGTGCTAACATGTGCTGAAACAGTAAACTTTATTGGTCTGAACCAGACAATTTGCAACTGAAACTGGAATTGAATCCAAAATATAACCATTTGGCTTGCTAGTTATTGTATGACTAATATTTAATAAGAATTGATATGTTAGACAGATCTCACATAGTCACCACTGCCCATCAGCAGCAGTCATAAAACTTTACCCATGTGTTTTTATGAATTTTCAGATTTTTGATAAAATATAGATTTAAGTAGTCTGATGTTGCAACTAGAAGTCTGAATGTGCCAACAATTAGAGAATATAATGAGTATCTTTCAGGCACATAATGAAGTGTGACTCAGATCTGAACTGGCCATACCAACTTAGAGTCATCCCAATATATAGTACCATTACACTAAAAGAGATTTCTATGAGGAAAAGCAATAAGCTCCAGTACTGTTTTTCTGAAAAATGCAGAAAATAGTTAAACAACACAGTATTTTCTTTTTTGGTATCAGTTTATTGTGTTTATTGTATTTGTATGTGTACATAAAAATGTTTTCCATTTGGGTAGGCAGTTGTTTTGTACTAAGTGAGAACAATAATAATTAGTGCTGCAGCAAGAAAAAAATTATAAATATGAAGTACATGGATGTTTACTTCTTAAATCACATTAAAAATGAGTGTTCTCTGGTAAGGCATGTTACTTAGGTTTATAATGTTTGAGAAAAAAACAATCCTCTCCCCTGCTCTGGTAGTTGTATTCTGTTGATAACAAACAAAGATAAGAGAGTATATCATCATCAATCTTCTTCAGAACTAGATTCGTCCTCCTCATCAGAAAGCTCAGCAACAGGAAAACGTAGAATAGCAGCTACACCTGTCAACTGACCAAGCTGTTCTCCTGACACATGAAGACTAGAGAATATACGAACAGTACCCATGTTATCCCGCACGCTATCGACTAGCCGGACATACCGACTACGTGTAGCCACATCTTGGTGACGAAAAAGTTCATCACTGATCAATAAAGTATCAATAGCCATGGCTTCATTAGCATTTTCTACATGCTTAAGACCGTAAAAAGCCCGATCAGGCTCATGTTGTAGCATTTTATAGAAATCATCCAGGGCTTTGACTTCACCAGCTGCTTTAGTATCTGCAAGACGACTAGTTACAGCAGGATCACACAGAGCTTCTTTCAATGAATATTTATGTCCAGAGGAAGAATGTACCTAAAGAAATACAACAACAAAAACACATTTGCCACTTTGACAATGGGTTGGGACAGAATAAATCAAATGATTTAACCATTTTGTTCTTGGAAAGAAAGATATATACCTGGAACATTGTTGATTATTTTAAGGCATGCTTTATTTTCAGCTGCTATAGAAACAGGATGACATTCTTCTGCTTGAATTTTGCTCTAGCCCTTTCTTTGCTAGACACATTTGCCCCATGTATTAGGATTTAAAAAAAACCTTGCAAAGTAAGTTGTCAGATATGTTATGGCTTCAATGACAATTCTAATACATAAAGCTTAGCAGTCAGTTCAAGCAATGCAGCTAGAACTGTTTATAGTCAAATAATAAGATTTCATGTACAGTGGTGCCTCGCTTAGTGATTGCTCCGTTTAGCGACGAAATCGCTTAGTGATGTTGTTTTTGCGATCACATTTCAAAAAAAAAAACTTGCAAAGTAAGTTGTCAAGTATGTTCTGGCTTCAATGACAATTCTAATACATAAAGCTTAGCAGTCAGTTCAAGCAATGCAGCTAGAACTGTTTATAGTCAAATAATAAGATTTCATGTATAGCTGTTGTATTTCCTGAACTCAGTAAGAATTCCAGTATCACACCCAGAGGACATCCAGCATGTATCATTTCTGCTTTTCTGTATCAGTTTGCTGAAAAACATCATAGAACATTCTTGGTCCCAATGTCATTACTACTATGGCAATAGACTGATTTCGTACAGCTGATTGGCGGTTTCAACATGGCCGCTGGGAAAAAAACATGGCCGCCCGCTGTGTTTAGGGACGGATTCCTCGCTTTAGAGGCACCGAAAATGGCAGCGCTATGGAGGATCTTCGCTCAACGGTGAGTTTTAAGCCCATAGGAACGCACTAAAGGGATTTCAATGTTTCTATGGGCTTTTTAATATCGCAGAGCAACGTTTTCATTCTGCAGCGATTTTTGCGGAACAAATTAAGATCGCTAAGCAAGGTACCACTGTATAGCTGTTGTATTTATTGAACTCAATAAGAATTCCAGTATCACACCCAGAGGACATCCAGAATGTATCATTTCTGCTTTTCTGTATCAGTTTGCTGAAAAACATCATAGAACATTCTTGGTCCCAATGTCATTACTACTATGGCAATAGACTGAACATGGCAATATCCCATAGTGAGTTTCACTGGCTGACACCACACTAACTCTCAATCTTTCAGATTCATACTTTCATGCTTCTAAGTGATGTTAGTTGTGTGCTGCCAAATTAGTTGTGTGCCACCAAGTCACTTCTGATTTATGGTGACCCTATCAGAGTTTTTTGAGGTATGTGAGGTGTTCATGCAGTAACTTACCACAGGCACTCCCTAGAGAGTTTCCATGGCTGACAGAGAATTTGAACCATTTTTCCTGAGTTCTAGCTTGACACTCTACCCACCATATGACTCTGCCTATGAGAAAATGTGCTCTCACAGAATGTATTACTTTTCATGTAAAAAGGTTTAGTATTACCATGGTGGCCTACAAGTATATACGGTGATAGCTTGAAAAATATTGGATCTAACTGAAAAACAATGTTATTCAAGCTTTCACGCCTGTATCAGTTTTATTTAGTGTTGATTATAACCAATCTTTCAGATTAATACTTTCATGCTTCTAAGTGATGTTAGCTGTGTGCTGCCAAATTAGTTGTGTGCCATCAAGTCACTTCTGATTTATGGTGACCCTTATCAGAGTTTTTCGAGGTATGTGAGGTGTTCATGCAGTAACTTACCACAGGCACTCCCTAGAGAGTTTCCATGGCTGACAGAGAATTTGAACCATTTTTCCTGAGTTCTAGCTTGACACTCTACCCACCATATGACTCTGCCTATGAGAAAATGTGCTCTCACAGAATGTATTACTTTTCATGTAAAAAGGTTTAGTATTACCATGGTGGCCTACAAGTATATATGGTGATAGCTTGAAAAGTATTGGATCTAACTGAAAAACAATGTTATTCAAGCTTTCACGCCTGTATCAGTTTTATTTAGTGTTGATTATAAGAAATCTTGAAGGGTAACATTTCTTATATCATTTATGCCTCATTATCAAGGCATTAAATGTATAATGATGTTGTATATAAGTTTGGAATGATTTCACAATTCTGTTATTTTAAAAAGCAAAATGGGGTGAGTGACCAAAAGTGCACCAAAAGGTATGCCCCACTGAGCTCAAGGGTGGGGGCGACTCCTAAGTAAGTCACTGATTTCTAAGTCAGTTTCCTGCCTTGCAAGCAAGTTCAACAGATGTCACTCCAAAGCACGGATGTCACTCCAAAGCATGGGTGAGCCATGTGTGGTACTCCATGCTGCTGGACTGTAAATCTTGTTAGCCCTAGGCAGAAGAGACAATATCAAAGAATGATGGAAACTGCAGCCCAACAACATCTGGGGACCACAAGTTGCTCACCTATGCCTGCACTTAGGACTTACTGTCATCCATGAGTTAGCTAAAACATAAATATAGTGTGAGTAATACGAAAGGATTTTGGACTCATTTTTCTAAATCAACTTTAAAATAATCAATTTATAGTGCTGCCTTATATACATTTATAAGATAAATTATTTTTCCACATATTAATCGTTGGAACTTGTTTTGACAACTTTGGAAGCCTGACCGGCACCTCAATTCACTGTCAAGTTAAAACCTAGTTTTTATCAAAGCATTTAGGGCCTAAGCATCATGATCTGACCCATATGAGTTCTGATAGTGTGTGCTGATTTAAATGATTTTTCAGTTGCACTAATTATTCTAAATTGTCTTAAAGCATTTTCAGAAATGTACACATTTCAATCTGTGTTAAACTTACATTAAATTGTTATAGGAATCTTCTTTGTTCCAAAATTTACTTCGCACTTGCTCGGCACTCTGAGAACATCAGTAATGTAGCAAACTGCTGAAATCCTCTGGAAGTTGTACTCCATTAGATCCACAGAATCACTGGGGATCTGATGAGTCAATTATTCCATAAGCTCTACTGATTCAAATGGGTCTACTGTAGTTGTGATTTACTATGCTAAAGTAAACTACAACTGAGAATAGACCCATTTGAATCAATGGAACTAGCGGGAGCAATGAACTCACCAAATCTCCACTGATTTAATGGGCTAGTTTTAGTGCATCCTGCCAAACTAAACAGGATTTGAAACATAAACATAATTTTTAAAAGAGATATGGACAAATTAATGCATGCCATATCACTCAATGGCAAAACTACTGGCACAATTCGGAGTCATTTTTTACCTGCAAGAATTTGGAGCGGTTCTCCAACAGCAGTTTGTTGTCTGTCTTGACCGCCTGCTGGAACATGTAGTCGCAGAACTGCTCCCGCACGAAGCCCGGGCTGGCCACCAGGACGCACTTGACCACCTCGAAATTGATGTGCCGCTGGATGGCTTGCATGACCTGGTCGTAGAACCGCTCCAAGGCCCGGTCGTGCTGGGCGCAGTTCCCCTTGCGCTTCCGCGGGATGTTCACCTCCACTTTGGCCCGAGTCAGAGTCATGCTGGGGGTGACGAGGCAGACGTGGGCCAGCCCTTCCTGCATCACCACTGCCGCCACGTCGGCGCTCCACGCCGGGTCGCAGGCCTGCTCGATCCGCTCCAGCACCACGCTGTCCCACTGCTTCTTGGCCAACGTGAACTGCCGGTTGGGCTCCAGCTCGATGGTGTGGTAGGCGCCCATCTTGACGTACTCGTTCTCCTGGATGTTGGTGCCTTTGACGCGCAGCTGGCAGGCCTGCGAGTCGAAGTCGATGGTCTGCACGCAGAGGGTGAGGGTGGTGCGGATGCGGTTGCTGCCCACGCTGCCCGTGGAGGACTCCGTCTGCACCTTGCGGATGGTGGAGGCCCGCAGGCTGTCGCCCACCTGCAGCAGGTTGTAGGCGTGCCACATGTCCTCGGGGTCCTCCGGGATGAGCGTCACCTGCCCGGCGTTGTCTTTCTCGATGTCCTTCCGCACCAGCTTCATCCTGGCGGGCGGCTGGATGAACCGGGCCGCGGAAGCCAGGCCCGCTCGGGCCTTCCTATCCGGCTGGCTTTAGGCCCCTGGCCGAAAGGAGCTATCCGCCCTCGCCACCCAGAAGGGAAAACCCTGGACCACGCGTAGGCCGCGCGCCTGTGGTAAATTTTCGGGACTGTGGCTCATAGGTTCGCCGCTCCCTGACGGTGTCTCTCCAGGGTCCGTTGGTGGCCGGCCGGCAGCCAAGCCGGAGAGTTGTTTCACCCGGCCCGCCAGCTCTGAGGCAGCGGCGGGAGGGAGTGGCTCTCCGGCCATGACGTCAATACCTCAACGACACTTCCTCCCCTCCCCGACTTGCGTAGCATTAAGCTCCACCCACGCGGCGAACGTGCCATTCGCTGTGGAAGGCGCGGAGGAGCAAGCCAATCTCGGAGAAGCGGAGTGAGCACGTGACGGGCAAAAAGAGGGGGTGGGGTCGCTACGTCGCGACGTACGCACGAAGCCGTGGCTGAAGAGGAGGATTGTGGCTTGCTTGAGGAGGGAGGCAGGACATCGAGGAGGTCTTTGGGGTGGGATGATGCAAAAGCCGGCTGCCTTTCGCTTGGGAGCCCGGAAGGACTTGGTTTGGTGACTAGGGGGTATCCTTAGTATTTGTGGTATTAGCATTAGGTTTTGTCTTTTGATGACGCAAGTCGCCTTGGGTCCTTTTTCAGGAGAAAGGCGTGGCAAAAAGTAAATAAATAAATAAATTGCATTTTAAAAACATTGCATGACGATATTTATTTGCTAGTGGGAAAGTGCTAGTGGGGTATCCAGGCAGCCTTTGGCTTCTTTCGTTGAGGGAAGCCTTGTTTCGTCGTTTTTCTGAAGACTACGTTTCGATTTTTCAGTTTATTTTTCATTGATGAATACAGTACTTCAAAATCTCTCTGTCTCTGTATAGGATTTTAATAAAGGTTGTGCTCATGGTGTGCTGCTTTTTCTTTTTGCTGCACTGTATAATCCAAGATAGATCACCATTCCAAAAACCAGATTCGTAGGGAGATGATTCCAAAATAAATCTCAGTAAGTTACATCTAACACAGCTAGATACTTAGCTATCAAAAGTTGGAAAGGAAGTATTTCTGGCAGTAAAAAATAATGACTGGTCTCTTTGTTGGAAAATGATGTACAGATTGGTTTGTGGTTTTATTCCTTTTTTTAAAAGAATTGCTAAGTAAAGACCAGCAGTCACTAATATTCATTTGAAGGACTGGACGTTTCTTCAGAGGGACAAATGATTTTCCATGCCTGATTCATTCAGTTTCCATGTTGGGTGGGGTGATGTGTGTGCAGGAATGTGTGCAGGAAGAACAGAGGAAGGCATTTACCTTTCTAGTTTCTAAGCAGGCTCGGAAACAGATATTATAGTACCAAAATACTGGAATGCATAAAGTTCCTGGCCTAGATCCTGGCCTTTATGTGGTTGAGTTAGTTATTATGATTTCCTGACTCATCGGGAGGAGCTGATGATTCATTGCCCCTTTCCATTAAACAGTTGAGTAAGATCCAAAATTAAAAGCTGTAGCTGAATGAACATGCAATATATACTTCTCCAGTCATACAAAATTAGTGAATATTATGGGATGCACACATATATTTAGCATATAGAAGAAGTATACACCTTAGTTTGTCCACTGTGTGCACAATGTGATTTCTGTGTTTTGAATACACATGAAACAATTCTGCAAGTGTTGAAAATGTACTAGTAGTCAGGTTTCCCAAGAACATTACACCTGTTGAACATTTTCCGGCCTTATACAACCTTAGCAATCTTGGTGCAGACCATTATAAGTGATGTTCTGCTAAGGTTCTGTCTGAATGGATTAAATTCTTTTCAGATTATCATGTCCTGCTATGTTGGTACCAGAAATACTTAGTGAGATGCAATGATGGAGCTAAGAAAGAATTGCAAACCTATGTCTTCCATTCATGGTATCAGCTTCTATGTGTACCTTAAACCTACAGTGGTTCCAGACAGACTTTTCAGGCAGGGGAGAGACTACAGTATATAATGTGACACTCCCCGACCCCATACTAAATCTGCAATCTAGAGTACGTCTTCCAGGTCAGAGTGACTGGAGGGATGATGACCATTTCATTTGGACAGATTTGAGGGCTTTGGAATTCATCCAAATTTTTTTGAATTGTGAAGGAGCTGATGATTCATTGCCCCTTTCCATTAAACAGTTGAGCAAGATCCAAAATTAAAAGCTGTAGCTGAATGAACATGCAATATATACTTCTCCAGTCATACAAAATTAATGAATATTATGGGATGCACAAATATATTTAGCATATAGAAGTATACACCTTAGTTTGTCCACTGTGTGCACAATGTGATTTCTGTGTTTTGAATACACATGAAACAATTCTGCAAGTGTTGAAAATGTACTAGTAGTCAGGTTTCCCAAGAACATTACACTTCTTGTACATTTTCCGGCCTTATACAACCTTAGCAATCTTGGTGCAGACCATTATAAGTGATGTTCTGCTAAGGTTCTGTCTGAATGGATTAAATTCTTTTCAGATTATCATGTCCTGCTATGTTGGTACCAGAAATGGTGAGATGCAATGATGGAACGAAGAAAGAATTGCAAGCCTATGTCTTCATGGTATCAGCTTCTCTGTGTACCTTAAAACTATAGCAGTAATGGACAAACCTACAGTGGTTCCAGACAGACTTTACAGGCAAGGGAGAGGCTACAGTATATACTGTAATGTGACACTCTTCCCCCAACCCCATACTAAATCTGCAATCTACAGTACGTCTTCCAGGTCAGAGTGACTGGAGGGATGATGACCATTTCATTTGGACAGATTTGAGGGCTTTGGAATTCATCCAAATTTTTTTGAATTGTGACTCCTCACTTTGGGGTATGCTGGCTAGGTCTGATGGGAACTGTGGGCCAAAAATATCTAGAGGATCATGGTTGCCCACCCTATCTGTACAACTTATATGTGTCAGGATATACAGTATATGCAGTTGTTATTTTCCAAATCAAGATGGTTAAAATAATTTGTAGCGGTGCAGTAGTTACTCTGGCATAGCTTTGTCCTGTCCTACATAAATTCTTAGAATTGCTGTAGATTTTTTTTTGTTTTTGGCAAATAATGCAGAAGGACTTCCTGCTTTAACAATTCTTAAGAAGTAATATGTTTTGTGAAAATGATACCACAGTGGCTCTAGGACAGTTACAGCCTATTTTCCTGTTTATCCCCACAATATAAGAACAATTTTGCATCAGATGGGAAACCACAGACAAAACTGGCATATGTTTTTAATGCTGGGGTGGTCTGGGATCACTTGTTGAAAGCTAGCCCAACACATTTTGCTGCCTGAGTCAAAGAAATAAATCTTAATTATACAGACCAAGGTACATTGCATCCATGATGGATCAGATTATTTTGGCACTGAAGCAGAAATTGCTGAAAGCATTCCCTGATTTTAAAAATGTTCTTTGATGATATCCCAAACTGCAGAAGTCTCTGTGCTGCTAGGTCAGAAGACCAGCTGTTGTAAGGTCAAATCCACACAACAGAGTGATCTCCCGTCACTTGTCCTAGCTCCTGCCAACCTAGCAGTTCGAAAGCATGCAAATGCAAGTAGATAAATAGGTACCACCTTGGTGGGAAGGTAACAGTGTTCCGTGTCTAGTTGCGCTGGCCACGTGACCACAGAAACTGTCTTTGGACATACACTGGCTCTATGGCTTAGAGATGGGGATGAGCACCGCCCCCTAGTGTTGGACATGACTGGACTAAATGTCAAGGGGAACCTTTACCATCTCAGTTTATCTCATAGTAGGCTTAGCACCAATCTTTTTTAAAGCCCTAAGTTCCAATGAAGTCAACGTTACTTAATAATTTCAGTATACATATGTTTCTGATCAGGCATCAGATCCCTCTTAGACAAATTTCTCAGAAAACAAGGATTGTTGAAGAATATTAAAGTTCTTTTTGAGTCTTTGGAATAATCAACCACTTTTGTATTTGTTATGATTGAATAAATAGTTTTGCAGGCACAGATCTTCTGTTGAAAATAATAGATCACTATTTGGCAATTATAAGTAGCGGAACTATCTTGTATTGTAATAAACTGTTCCTTTTAAAAAATGAATGTGTTACATTATTTAACAAGGTCTGATTCTTGTGCAGTTTTCAAGAGACGATTAGGAAACAACTCAGCATAAACACTGGCTGAATTCTCAGGCAGAAGAGTCATGCAAAAGGATGCAAAAGGAGAATCAGCTGAAACCAGGAATCCATAAAATATATTGGTAAACAATTTCTGTCATCACTCCCTTTTTCAGTTAAAAGAATATTTTAATTCCAAGGTCTTACGTAGAGATCATGAGACATTCCTCTTTTTTTTAAAAGGCTGAGAATAAAAAGCTGTTCTAATTTTCTGCTAACACAGGATATTTTGCTGTCACATTTGCTACCTATATGAACATCACCACATTTTTAGTTTTATGGATTATTTAGACGTCTGACATTACTAGGAGTGCTTCTGTTCTATAAATGTTGTCCATACGCATCTTTAACCATCTTCATCAAAAGAGCTACTTATTGTTTAGGGGGAAAGCACTGAGCTGTGTTTGGAATAGCAAACAAAAATGCAGTTATAAAAAATAACTGCCATCTCATGAAGAAAGACTAATGTTAACTCTGAAATATGACTTCAGCAAAATCTGAACTTTAAACAATTATTAAAGAACTTTAAAGAATTGCTAGACCTGTGCAAAACAACTAACTGCTGGATGCTTTTTCCACATACGTGAATAGAAAATACTTTATATATTTAAAGAAAGAAAGAAAGAAAGAAAGTGGAAGAAGTGTGTGCACTCTGTGCCATCAAGTCAGAACTGACTTATAGTAACCCTAAAAGGCTTTCTAGGCAAGTAAGATATTTAAGGAGTGGTTTTATGAGTTCCACTCTCCCAGTCAGTTTGAATGGCTGAGTGGGAATTTGAACCCTCTTCTCCAGAGAACTAGGTCATCTCTGTATCCACTCCACCACACTTGGAATCTCAAACAGGTGCTACATGTTGCAAACATTTGTTATATACAGCCAGTAATTAGACTCCCCTTGAGAGATTTTGGGAGTTGCAGTTCCAAAAAAATAATAATCATTTTTGTATCTGCATGCATCATGCTGTTTTATGTGGTTCAACCATCTAGTCAGTATTTCTTAATAATACATGATTGCAACGGAAGAAAAATGCATTGTTTTCACCTGTAGCCTCATTTTTCATATCCAGAAAGTCAGAGGAATGCGCTGAGACAGATACTGACTTAGGAGCATGTGCTTAAACCATAAAAGAAAGAATGAAAGAACAAAAACCCACTACAAGAATAAACCAAGAACACCACATAATTGATTGATGGTGGACTATAATTTTGACTTGAGGAGGCAGACAATGGAACTCCTGTGTTTGGGAGCAGGGTTTGACCTTACACACAGGTTTTATTTATGACAGCTCCATAAAGCTTTTCTTTTTCAATCTCATTAGAAAAGTGTGCTCTATATTCTATTAACTTTAGAAGCTACAGATTTAAATCTCTAAATCCATACCTTTTATATTCTGTTAATCAGTTTTCAAAAGAAGAAAAACTACAAGGCAGTGACCTTATCAGGCTGATAAAACACAGTCCTTAATCATGTTTGTCCAGTTTTTCAACTTTCTATTAGGTGTGCATAGGATTGCAGTTTTGGATTATTCTTGTTATATACTTGAAATAGGTTGATGTTTTAAACTGATTGTCTTTTTGTGTGATTAACAAGGGTACACAAAGAAACACAACCCTGGTTGTCATCATTGTATTCAGTTATTCAGTACAGCCAGGTCATATCACTTTCCATATTTAAGGAAGGTAAATCTGGGATCTAGTCAAAGAAGACGTAGGGTGAAAAAACATAAACTAAATCTCGATCTCTACCTCTGAAAGAGGCACTCTGAATCAAATAGCAATCAGAACATTTGTGTCAGTTTGTCATATCCAAAATACAGCCTCCTACAGAAGATCCAGTTTAGACATTTAGGAGCCTGCTACCAACTGCTGCCTGATCCAAAATGGTTCCCAACCTTGGGTAACCCAGGTACTGATTCAACAGAGCAGTGGTTCCCAACCTTGGGTAACCCAGGTTTTCTTGGACTGCATATCCCAGGAGCCTTCACCATTAGCTGTGCTGTTTCTTGGACTGCAGATCCCAGGAGCCTTCACCACTAGCTGTGCTGGCAAGGGTTTCTGGGAGCTGCAGTCCAAGAACACCTTGGTTTCTCAACGTTGGGAACCACTGTAATAGAGGAAAATTGAATTAAGACCCTACATACAACCAGTATTTATTTATGATGTATGCACCTATTTCATCATCATCTGTCTTCAACCATGGCCTAAGTAACTGTTACATGGGAAAGTTCAGCCACCCAAAGCAAGAGTAATATTCCATTCTCTGGTCACAGTTATATTTCAGGAATTTGAAGAGTCTTTGCAAAGCTTTGAAAAATATATTTTCTCACTGTGTTTCAAAGGAGTAGTAATGTTAGTTCTGGCATGTAAAAAAAAGCCAAAACAAATCACAGACCTCCAATGTCTCGTACCATCTTTAAGACAAAATAATTTATTTCAATATGAACTTCCATAGATTCCGTTTTCATTCAAAAGCCTTCTTGTTTATACTACAACTCCCAGAATCCCATAGCTAACATGGACCAAAGAACAACTTTTTCAGGATCTGTGGTAAGTGATGATCTGTAATGCATGCAGTAACTGCAATCTTTTGAAGCTTTAAGGATGCCTTCGTATCATCTGGATCACTCTTGTATTGAGATGCCTTGGACTAATTTCAGTAATTTATTTGGACACTTGCAACTAGCATAAATTCAAACTTTGTAGCATTTGTTGCAAAACAAGTCCAAAATAGAAGTACATCAAAACAGTTCACTGATACAGTATATTATGCAGTATATATAGGGACGTGGTGGCACTATGGGCTAAACCGCAGAAGCCTGTGCTGCAGGGTCAGAAGACCAAGCAGTCGTAAGATCGAATCCACGCAAGGGAGTGAGCGCCCGTCGCTTGTCCCAGCTCCCACCAACCTAGTGGTTCGAAAGCATGCAAATGCAAGTAGATAAATAGGGACCACCTCGGTGGGAAGGTAACAGCGTTCCGTGTCTAAGTCACACTGGCCATGTGACCATGGAAGATTGTCTTTGGACAAACACCGGCTCTATGGCTTGCGGGGATGAGCACCGCCCCCTAGAGTCAAACATGACTGGATAAAAATTGTCAAGGGGAGCCTTTACCTTTTTATGCAGTATATATACTGTATTATGCAGTTAGTGAACTGTTTTGATGTACTTCTATTTTGGATTTGTTTTGCAACAAATGCTACAAAGTTTGAATTTATCCTTGAATTTATGTTATATATATCTAGCATAAATTCAAGCATACGATCAAAGAGTATATATACTCTTACAACCATAATGATTGCACAGATGGGAACAAGAAAGAAGTTTTGTACCATACTATCATTTTAAAAGTTATAATAATATGTTGCATGCAGGCAAAATGCTACCATTGCTTGGCAAAGCTGGATTACTGTAATCAGGCATTAATGAAATGGGAGTGATTTCATGTCCAAAGAACGAATCCCCCCCCCCCAATGAGGAGAAAAGTTGAAGCTTTAGATTGCTTACTGTATTGTTGTCTCATTCAGGTTAATAAAACTAGTGTGTTAAAAGTCAGTTAAGAACTACAGCCAAAATTACAAAAGACATAAGGAGCAGAAAATATACGTATTTTGCTTTTCCCTTGGGTGATTTCTGCAAGGTTTCTTGGCTACTCTCATATTTTCACAAGCCTATGCACTTTTCGCTGTTGAGTTTCACCCACATATTTCAGCAAAACTGCCCCTCTGAGACTTACAAAGAATCGAGCAATTACAATTGTTTTCATTTCCTCTCTCCCACCCCCAACTTCCAGATCCGTTTCCTTGAGTTTCACCACCCTCAACAGAAATGGTTTGTGTCAGGATCAAACATCTGAACTTCTTGGAATGACTGTCGTTTTACGAAATCCCTGCGCACTTGGACAAAGTGACTGGAAAAATGCCAACATGTTTCTGTTGAAGTTACAGCAAAAGACTATAAAACACCTTATCTCCTGTAACTAAACAGAAGTAGCCTAACCCAGATCTTCCCTATCCAAAAGCATTTGCCAAACTTAAAAAAACCAACAAGCTTTACACACATAATACATGAACGTCAAAACATCCATCCTGTTCCTAATTCACTGATCCTGCTTTCTTTCTGTCTGAGCCGCTCCTCCGTTTTGGCTTTTTTTCCCCTCTCTCTTTCTTTTTCTGTTTGATTCACATCATATTCCAGTCACCAAAAATGCACCGATTGTAAAGTTCAGTTAGACGTCTCCAGGACTGACTCAAAAGAAGACAGAATAAAAGAGTAGTAATGATGAATTGCACAATTCTAGAGAGATCCAGGCACGTTACCATAGTCTCTCGAGACTGAAGGATGCCTAATCTAAGAGAAATCCAGGACAGTGGTCTGAAGAGGGAGAGGAAAGAGGGAGAACCCAACAGACAGACACTTCACTCATTTTTCTCACAGCTTGGCAAAGTTTCCAAAATAAGAGGAGCGAGGTGTTCTTACCTGCCAATATCAGGCATAGGACAGCAACATCTGGGCTGCTACTGCTGTTGGAAATGAGAGAATAGGAGCCCATAACGTCAATGGAGAAGGATCCCAGGCAGGACAAATATAAACTGGAGCAGCAACAGGGGTTCTGTAGTTCAGAGCAACACCAGTTTCAGAGTGTTGCTGTGGAAGCTGCGCCTGCTGCTTCTGTTCCCTGTCTGCATTTGCAGCAGTAACAGGGGCAGAGCCAGGCATTTCCTGTTTGTTGTTCAAGTCCTTTAAGTTATTCTCCCCCTGCACATCAAGATGACTAGTTTTCCCCCTCCCTTATTAGCCCCCACTCTCCCTCCTATCCTAAGTGGTCTCTGAACCCTCGAAAAACCCCACGTGGCAGGATCGCAGAGCCCCAAGACATGTACAAATAAAGTCAGATCTTTTAACAGCTCGTGTTTAGGCTAAAGTCTGCAGGCTGCAGAGCAAACCTTAAAGGGACATCTGCAGGCTTATAATTAATGGGTGTCTCCAGCTACTAGGCAACTTGCACCAAATACCGGGAGCAAGAAGGGAGATTTTTGGGACCAATCCCTTGACCATGCTTTTTCCATCCACACCCACCCTTTCTTTTTCAACTGTGCTTCTAAATGCTGCCTTATTTCCAGGAAATGAATAAAAGAGCTATTATGAGAAGTGTGTGTTAAATTCAGATTTCGAGACGGTTCTAACTGAGGCTGCTCTGTGTTGGTTGAATTTTGCTCTGTTTACATCACTCGATAAAAATGTATTTGATGTAAGTTGCAACATACACACCAAAGAACGTCTCCATGGAAAGGCTTTGTGAAAGGTTTGGTGCAGCATAGATCAAAGTATCAGCCCATGTTGAAGCAGAGTTTAGAATAAAATTACTTTTTTGGGGGGGGGACTGCAATGCCCAGAAACAGCCCAATCAGTAAAAAAGGAAACACCCAAAACAAAAACCCAACACCACATTTCCAAATTGTGGAACAAGTTTTCAGAAAGCAACTTTTGCAAGGCAAGGTGGCATGTACTTTGAT